GGCACAAGGCTACTTCACTCATTTAGCTAGCTAATGTAAGATACAAATGCTGTCGAGCCCTCACTGCTTGTAAAATAAAGAGCACAAACTGACTACTTACCCGAGCGGCGAGCCCCGCTGTTCTCCGTCATTTTTCTCCCGGGTTGTTGTGATCACATGACTGACAAAGCCGTGCTCTGATAGGCCAGAAGTCGGAGTTGCATTAGGGCTCGATTGCTTATCCTGTCTGCGTAGCCCGGATGATGCTGCATCGAATTTTATACATCGAATTTTTTGACGTCGAATTTTTGGGATCTGAATTTGAACATTCGAATTTTTTTCACTTGAATTTTTACATTTTTATTTCACATAGGTAAATTCGGAGCAAAAACATTTAGATACATGATTTTCAAAGTAATTATTTTCAATGTTATAAATTCGGTGTCTAATACAATTCAAATACTTCTGTCTCTTGTTTGCTTCCATATCACTAGTTCAATTGTAACTAGTAACAATTGAATTACTGATAACAGAAATTGGCATTTTAACTAGTTCAAATTCAAACTCCCATTGAAATGAATGAGAAAAACGATGCAAATCTCACTAGTTAAAATCGCATTTCTGATATGAATTTAATTTGTGATATCAAGAATTTGCATTATAACTAGTTAAAATGCAGTTTTTGATATCAGAAATAAACATTCTTACTAGTAAGAATACATTTTTTTAAATGAATAAAAGCTAAATCGGCTTGCCATATTTTCAGAGGTTGTTTTGTACAAAATCAAGTTCTGAGCAAGCTAGATGTATCAAGTATCCGTGAAAAGTTATTGTTGTGTTCATATTGAGGTTACGCTGACCTGAAGTTGACCCTTTTTCTCTGGCTGATCAACAGACCTTTTAGTCCAACAGATATGTGAAAGAATTGTGCTTTTGATGATAAAAACATGAACTTTGGCACACTGTTAGAGCATGCCCTAAGGAATATTTTTGGCTATAGGGCCATCGCATATTTGTCCAAGGGGGCCAATGGTAATACATGTTACATAATATACATGTAATATTACAGGTTTTCAACTAAATGCAGAGTTAGTCCTGAAAACACAGTCCACCACAGTGGCAAGGGCAGTGCACTGAATTGCTGCCTTGACACATTAGAAAATTGTCCACTGCACCCCTTTTTGCATCCACAGCGTAGGAGTTTGCGACAGGCCTGGGTCGCTTCTGGTAATGTGGTCCAGTAAACTTACCATCTACCTGTGGCCTTACTCTTCCACCCAGGGCCGCCCCTGGCCAACTTGTGGGCCCACGCAAAGTTATGTGATGAGGCCCTCTGTGTGTGGGGGGGGTGTGTGCTAGTGGAGCACGCGCCGGAACCTCGCAGCGGCGAAACTGTGGCGCGCTTACAGTAATTTGCATAAAGGTGCGCCGCATTTGCGCTTCAGATGAGGCTCCCTCTCCAAGATGAGGCCCCACCCAGTCTGCGTGATCTGCGTGCGGGGAGGGCGGGCCTGCTTCCACCCCTCTTCCACATCATCAAACGCCACTGCCACCAAAATATGACACGGTGTCACATCCAGTAAATTCATGGAACATTAGTAAGGCTATGCATCGATCTGGACCTAGTGACCTCGCCATCTCATGAGCTGCTAAATGCCGAAAACTCTTCCCAGCTCCAAAGGTAACCCACAGCAGTGATGTTGGGGGATTGGGCTGCTGTGACTGCCAGTACTACCACATCTGTGTCAACTGTGCGTATTGACACCTTGCTATTCCCTTCCTTCACAGTATCTCCTAGGTACAGTAGGATGCGGTTATCAGCCTCCTCATGTGTGCATGATGCAAATACTGATTATTTGTTTGCCAGTGTTGAGGGCTGTCACACTGGTTGCCAGGAAGGAGAACAGAACAAGCCTTCTTGTCTTCAATGTGCAGAAACTCTGGCCAGTTTCCAGGAATGACACTGGGTGGCTCAATGTGTCCTGTCATTATGGTGAGAACACTTTCTGCACATAATCAAAAAACGTCTATGCAGCACCAGGTCGTAGCATGTTCACAAGAGCAGCCCCTTCAAGGATGATGACCTGTACTGTGGGGTGAGATGCATTCTCTTGTAAAGAAATCAGGTCCTCCAAACTGCCCACCAATCTGACTAGGTACCAGTGCTCAGCTTGCCCATTTGTGACAATGATGGTGGACATGCCTGGTTTTCATGCTCAAAAAAATAATCCAGACTTCCATCACGTATCTCAGATACAATGTACAGCCTAGAGAGAACAGAGAACAGTCATTCTACAGAGATGAGAGCTGTTGTTGGGTCCTGGGCTTCTCTCGGACTGGAGGCCGGCTGAATAGAGGGAGGTTTTTCCTTTTGATGGGATCTTTGATGGGCTTTGTCTATTTGACCAGGCGCTCACTGACATACAGTGCAGGAAATCCCTTGCAGATTTTGTTTGCCCACTTACAAATAAATGAACAGTCTATCATTTTAATGGCATGTTTATTTTATCAGTGAGAGTAAGAATATCAAAAAGAAAATCCAGAAATTGAAATTATATAAAAGATACAAATTTATATGCATTTAACTGCGGGAAATAAGTATTTGATCCCCTTGGAAAACATGTCTTAGTACTTGGTGGAGAAAACCTTATTGGACAGACAGAGGTCAGAAGCTTCTTGTAGTTGGTCTCCAGGTTTGTGCTCATCTCAGGAAGGATTCTGGTCCACTTTTTGAAGATCCTCTCCAAATCCTGAAGTTTTTGAGGCTGATACTTGGCATCTCAAAGCTTCATCTCCCTCCAAAGATTTTCTATGGGATTAAGGTACGGAGACTGGCTAGGCCCCTCCCTCACCTAAATGTGCTTCTTCTTTAGCCACTCCTGTGTTGCCTTGGCCTTACAGTATGTTAAGGTGTATTGTGTGTACTGCAATGCATTGGTATGCTTTTTTTTATAGCTTTCAACCTTTACACACATTTTCAGCATTAGTTAAAAGCTGTTTTCTAGTTAAAACTGAAATAAAATAGAAAGTTCATCTCACATTCTTTTTATTTCAAGCAACTCCATTTATTTTGATAATGTTCATGTTGATTTAAATTCCTAATTTCAAACTTCCCTTATAGTTTTAAAGGTCCCTGATCCTCTGCAATCATGATCAAATTGGTAATGTTTGATTTTGGATTTTATTTCCTTTCATTCTATGTAGATTTACAAGTTCTGCATTTACAGTATTTCATAATAAACTTTACATTTTGTATTTTCTCCTTTGCCATTGTTGCCGCATTGTTCTTGGGTAGGTTGATTATAAAAACGACATGTGTTAAACCCTATGGTTAAACCCAGGCCTGGGCTTTTTTTTCACGACACTGTGTCTCAGGCAGTGGCGTAGCTGTGGGTGGGCCCGGGTGGGCCTGGGCCCACCCACATGCACGTCTGGCCCACCCACAGCCAATCAGCGCGTCATAGCGCAGAGCTGGGAAGCCCAGAAGGAAGTGCCACAAACTGCAGTTCATCTACTGGCCGACAGTTTATGCTTATGTTCAATTAGTGCATTATAAAATTATTAAAGTCATTAATAAAGTGTCAGCTCAGACCCCACGCTTAATAAGTCTCCCCCTGGCCCACCTACATTTCTCCAGGCCCACCCACACAATAATTCCTGGCTACGCCACTGGTCTCAGGGGATCTTAATATTTAAGAACCTATTAATGTGTTATACCAGATTAACGGAAATAATCTCAGCTAACTGACGATACAAACCATTTTTACCAAAACAAAACACAAGTCTAATAAGAAGCATCTAAATGACCCCTTAGCGAAAAATGCTAACGGACATTGGCACAGAACTCAAGATAAAAGTACCCTTATTACTTATCGTAGCTGCACATACAAAATATCCGATTAAAGCTGAGGTTCCACAGATTATTTAGGTATATAGTATCATCACTGAGTGATCCGGACTTGCGACAGGGGAAGCAAACACAGACATCACAACACGTACCTTTACGGAGCTTCTAGGGAGATCGTCTCATCGTAACTGTCAATCTGATCAAAAGACGTGTTCAATGGCATTAAAACCAGAAAAAACGTGGCTGAATCGGTTAATCCATAGCTTTTTAACGTCTCTGTATAAAAAAATGATTTCATTTATAATCCATAATTCCATTTTTATGTAAAAATCGGAGAGCAAAAGTTAGCTACTAATGGTAGCCACCAGAGTGGCTGTTGCTTCCGGTCTAGGCTATGCGGCAGTCTAAAACACACACATTACCAAATAAGGACTATGTGGGCGTTCCCCTCGATTCCATTGACTCTGACGGTTAGAAAGAGATGTAACATGTCAAAATCCAGCAAGGGGGGCCAGAGATATGGAAAATCCACCCAAATGGCCACAGAAGAGGTTTTTTTTTGCTAAATCTGTATAAAAAGGTCAAATATCACTTGTTTTGCATCAATCTTGATACAGGGTACTTATTATATGTTGTACTTTGGATTCCTAAAGCTTTTAGTCTACTAACCCATCATCCAAGGTTAGTTTTCACTATAAGTAGGCTACAAAATATTTTTTGGACAGACACTATAATTTACAGTTTTTTACCATGTTCAATCTGAATTTCCTTTAAAATAAAAAACCTCTATATTGAATCTGACTTTTCTACATCCAACTCACAGGTTTATCATTACTTTGAGAACAAAGATTATTAATTTAACCCTTTTAGAAGGGAAGATATGGTCATTTGTTCTGGGAATGTCATTTTCGAGCCTGATACCTGAAAAACAGGCTCGGGGTTTAACAGGTTAACCTTTACCAGAAAGCCACCAGCGGGTTCCCGGTCCAGAAGATATAGAAGGTCCAAAAGGTCCAGAAGATCCAGAAGAGCCAGGTAAGTATTTTAAACCATTCAGTGGCATAAGCATTAATTTAGGAGAGTTTTACAGCTTCCTACCCAGTCGTCCTCTCACTCGTTTATTGCTCCTTGCAGTGTGCTGGACCAACTGGTTTGACCGTGACAATCCCAGTGGTTCAGGGGACTGGGAGCTTTTGAAGGACCAGAGGAAAGAAAACCCAGGAAAGATCTGTGAATACCCTCTGTACATAAAGGTCGTTACCACTGACACGATGACCCCAGCCATTTCCACAGGGCAGACCTTCTATATGTAAGTTGCCTCATTGAAATAATGCAAATGATTATTTAACCACATCCCAGGAATAAGTCGGTACTTCTGAACATTAAAAACTCCTTACAAGTCACCCACATGTGCTGCCTGGAGCTACACCTATAACAGTGAATAGAAACATGTACATGGACATTTAATTTACATTAGAAGACATTTTAATTATTTCAAATGATCATTGTGGATATCTGAGATATTTAATATTAGAAACAAAGTTCCACCTGACCACAAGAACAATTATGATCATTGGAAGGGTTGTAGAGGTTTATTTGAACTAGCATCAATGCACTTTAATAAACTACATTGGGTTTATCTCAGAGCTAAACATGAATTATGGTCTAAGCAACATATCCAATTTAAAATCATTTAACTATCTAACTGATTAATTTAATAATTGGTATTGTTTTTCAGCTTCAATCCGACTCAGGGATTTTTTTGATTTTTAACGTTAGCATTCAACGGGGCGAAAACTTTCAAACGTAATTATAGGACGTATTAAGCGCTTGCACAAACGACATATTTGGTCGTAATAAGGGCCTGAGCAATCGGCCCATTTGGTCGTATGAGTTGGAGGACTTGTTGGCATAGCTTATTAGGATTGTCCTCACATGCTATGAAGTTGTAATTTGGAGTGAATAAAGCAGCATTTTGTGTTTTCAACATATGGTGGGAACTAATATGATATGCAGACGGTGCTCAATTGCATTTTATCAGCAATATGAGAATGGACAAAAAAAGCAGTGAATCTGAATTTAATATTAACATGCAAGCATTCAGGCATGCATTTTTCCCAACATATATCTTCCTATCTATTGGTGTGTGTTTTCAGAGTAGTGTCCTCACAAACTCTCTCTGCTGACCTGAATCCCACATCTGTCATGTTTCTATCAGTCCAATGCTCCTGATGGGAGACCCCAACCACACTAGATTCTCAAATGTACACACATAAGCACTACAGACACATACTCACAGTGAGAGGAGCAGGGAGGTACAAGGTGATTCCTGTTCCCCCTCAACAGCATCAATATTTCTTGGGAGATAAGCACTTGTGATAGGTGCTGAAAAGAAACTGCAGTGTATCATACAGATTTAAAAATCAGGGGCTGAACATTTTCTCTTGCTTTGGGGAAACCCTGAGTTCTGCTGGTGTTTTGCAAATGCTTTCACTGCATCAATACTGCCTTTTTGGTGGAATTTAGTATCGAGTGTGCACGTCTGTCCTCCAGTAAGACTGTACAGAGAATAGAGGGAGAGAGGGAGTAAACTGAATGCAATCTGGGAAACTTTTCTGATAAAACTGAAGAGGAGAAGTAAAATATAATCTGCACTGAACTGAAGTGATACAGAAGTGTTGAAGCTTCGCAGCATTATGGTTTTCTATTCTCTTCTATTAATCTCCCAATATTCCATGGCTGTAAAGGCCTATTTATAGACAGGATGCATGAGCTAGAGCTGCAGACAGGTTCAGTTGGTACCTCTTCGGGTACACAACCATTGTCAGGTTCTGCTGCTGCTTTTGATGTAAGTACCAACATTTAGCTGTCCCAGTGTTTCGCGAGTCTGAAGTTGAGTCATACTTTGTTTTGTTTGTTGCTGCTTTGCAGTGGCCGAAGGATGTGTGGGCTATACTGTTAAAGTGCAAGTTAGTTGGTAGGGCTAAGATGGTTTGCTCTTCTCTTACTGTTGAAGACAGCATTGTTTATGAAAATGTTAAAGGTGCTATTCTTAGGGCGTATGAGCTTGTGCCTGAGGCTGATTATAAGCAGCAGGTGGCAACTTCCAAACAGTCTATAGTAAAACCAAAAGTATATATAGGCAGTGTTTTCGCAGCCTGAAAACTCCTGGCCAGACTTATGTGGACTTTGCGAGGGAGAACAAAATCCCTTTTGATGGGTGGTGCTTGTATAGCTGATGACCTTACCTCAATGTGTGAACTTATGATGTCTGAGGAATTTAAAAACTGTGTACCAGAACATACTGTTGTCAAAAAAATAACCTCCTTGCAGCAGGCCGCTACTATGGCGGATGAGCTTGTGTTGACGCACAGTTGTGTTATGGCTCAGTGTAATTATTCTCATCCTATTTCTTTACGGAAAGCTCGTAACAGGCATGCCACACGTGCTCATTCTGTTTCTCTTCCAGGTCCCAAGACTAAGAGATTGTGTTTCTGTTGTCTTGAACCTGGGTGTGGACCTGGCTCAGAGCGGTGTGGATGTGTGTTCAGTGAGTGTTTCAACCAGTTCTACAAACTGTCAAGAAGTCTCCTATGTCATGCCATCCGACCAAGTGTTTATGTCAACATTGCGTGACAAGAAATTGGCGGCCAAAACTGCATAGTTGGTGAACTGTATGGAGTTTCTCCATAGAGGCTTCTCAATACTCAAATGTCCCCTCCTCGACTCCTCGACTCCTCGGTCCTCCGGTAGTGACCCGGAAATGAATTTCAGCGCGCCATTTTGAAGGACATCTCATTTCTCTAAATGCACACCGAGGACCGAGGATCGAGCGTCGAGGAGGCTCTCTGGAGGAGCTATAACCGAGGATACACTGATGGTTCCTCCACGGCTCCTCCGCGGATGCATTTCCGGGAACGGTGGAGGCGTGACGCACGGCCGGACTTATCTCAGCCAATGACAGCTCTGCATGCATCCCCTGGATATTATTTTAGAAACTGCTCTCATCGCAACGCGATGTTTACAGTGAGAACAGCTATGAGGTCCGTGCAGAAAGCAGAGCAGTGTGTATAATATATATCACTCAGTATAACAGGCCTACTCTCTTTATTTGCTTTAGTTTAGTAGATAAGTACAAACAAAGAGTCGATATTTTTATAAGATCATGTAGTGCTTCACATAATAAAATACACAACGGCTGTAGCCTGATTATGCTTTAGGAGCTGTAGGTGTGTGTGGTACAGTGTGTAGCAGTGACGTGCGGTGAGGTTCATGGCTGGTGAGGCACTGACTCTTTCAGAGTCAGATTTACAAATATTATATTCTGACCTTAATCGAAATATTCTGTTGTTTTCAAAAGCTTTTTTGGTCTGATGTTTCGATTCATTTTAAACAGACCGTTCAACAAAAGGATACCCACAATCTAAATATTGGATTGTTCTTTCTTAGTAAGATCCCATGTTCATTACCAATGTGGTCTTACCTTGACTTGAAGATGAAGTCCATGCTATCCTTCTGGACAACAATCTCTATTACTTTTTTGTAAAAGTCCTCCTTATCTTCCTCTAGTTTCAAAAGTCTAGTTTGTTGTTCGCGTCTATACCGTCTCTGCGTAGAATAACAGTAGCAACAAGGACCTGTGGGCTCACGTGCGCCCCCTTCAGTGCGGCAGAGGTTATGGCTGCCTCCCCTGGTGCTTTTTTCATTGCCGTTGTACGGCGAGCCTAAATATCATATACGTGAAATAAGTTATTTAGAGACTATGGATGGCGAGGATAAATGTAATAAAGGGATCTACAAATATTACATTGGTGACCTACAGTGAGATGGTAACAGGCATGCGCTTAGGGCCCGCTTTCCAGACAGTTTCTGTGAGGTGACGCATTCTGAGGTGAGGCAGAGCTCATCTGTGCCTCACCTCACCACACAGTAAATGGCTTGAGCGCGCTCACAAAATAAGTGCCCGGGCTAAATTAGTGCCCGCGCTCCAGCAAGTTACTGTGGGCTTACGAGAGGCAGAGCTCGTCCCTGCCTCACTTCTCATCGCTACCCGTAGTTGTAGCGGAGCTCGGCAAATTAGCTGATTTTGACTATAAAAAGCGATTGGAATCATACATAAATCACATTTACAACACAGATCAGTGGAGACATTATATTATTATTACTATTTAGTTTTTCTTTAGTTGTTTTTCCGTTACATTGTAGTATGGCCAGACTATGAGTATGACAGGTGAGGCTCTGCCTCCCCTGACTGCACGTCTCTGGTGTGTAGGTGTGTGTGTGTGGTACAGTGTGTAGGTGTGTGTGTGGTACAGTGCGTAGATGGTGCGGACAGACGGGTCTCAGTTGATTTGGTGTCCTCTGCTTACTTTTAATACTTGTAAATACAACTTTTGGCCCATAATTTCAAAAGCGACCAGAGAGAGGGGGGGGGGGGGGATATATCCAGTCTCTGATTGTGTTAAGTTATTATGAGAGTGCTCTCATACTTTAAATTGTATATATTTATATAAATATATGTGTGTGTGTGTCTGCATCTGTAGCCTGTTATTGTCTCATTATACCGCACTGTCAATGAATCAAAGTAAATATGTAAGTCGTCATGAACACATCTGTCCATCAGACAGAGTGCTGCTGTGCCTCCTGTCATCATTAATGGACGTCTCTATCTGCCTGCTGCTTCCACTCCTCTCTCCTCGGTTCCCCTCCTCATTCCTCCGCTCGCATCTCCTGTGGGCGGGACTAAGTTTCGAGGATAGGAGTTGAGGAGGGGAGTCGAGGAGGGGAAATTTAAGAATTGAGAAGCCTCATGTGTTGCTCCAATGTTGGCTGCTTGTGAGCTGTATAGCGTGTGTGTTTTGGGGTCTGAAGTGATGGGGGATGTGCCCCAAGTTAATATGTATAGTTGTGGAATGATGAGTGCAGGTATCGCTTTAGGGTTCATCTTCTTATTACAGACACATGCATTTCCTAACATTCGGTCTATATGCTGTAAAATGTATTATCTCTTCGATTTACACACGGCATATATTGCACGTCTGTCCGTCCTGGGAGAGGGATCCCTCCTCTGTTGCTCTCCCTGAGGTTTCTCCCATTTTTTCCCCTTAAACTGTGGGTTTTCTCTGGAAGTTTTTCCTTGTACGATGTGAGGGTCTAAGGATAGAGGGTGTCGTTTTTCTCATACTGATATTCTGAACAATCTGTGCCGTTGTATTTGCTGTAAAGTGTCTCTACTGTAGGCTATTTTTATTATATGTACAGCACTTTGGCTCGACCAAAAATCATTTATAAATGTGCTATATAAATAAA